GTGGGAGGAATAGTGCCCCATCATTGGTATTAATGACACCAATGATGGGGCACTATTCCTCCTACTGACACCAATGATACTTACCTTGCTGACTCCTGCTCCAGCCTGGGCTCGCTCCCTCCCTCTCCCATCTACAGCCAGCATACCTGGCTGCAGCAGCACCATCTGCACGCTACAGACGCTTACCTGTCAGCTGTCTTCCTTCTCCGGCCGCTCTCTTGCTCGATCTTCTTTGATCTTCGCGCTGCTGCTCGGCTCCTCCTCCTCGCCGGTGATTGGCCGCCTGTGTGCCTCTCCTGAGCTACAGTTCCGGCGGCCAATCACTGGCGAGGAGGCCGAGCTGTTGAGTGATCCCGGGGATGTGGCCAGATGACAGGGGCGGCATGTCATCCTGCGCACACATTGCAGTCCAGGGAAACGTGGACGTATCTGCATGTGGGGGACCCGCCTGGAGACTGATAGAGGAGCGGTGTCTCGGTTCCTAAGACCATCGGAAATATGTGTTTTCCGATGGTCTTAGGAGACCCCTGTGAAAGGGTTGTTCGACCCCCAAAGGGGTCGCGACCCACAGGTTGAGAAGCGCTGCTTTAAAGTCTCACTTTTGACTGGAGTGCACCTTTCATGGGCGGTTATTTCAGTAACTAATAAACAAAACTTGCTGCATGGCTACTAGTGAAAAAATACTTTCAAATTAGATCTTAGAAATGTCACAAGAAAACCACATGGTCGACACAATTATTGGGTGTGAAGATTTTGCTACACACTAATGTCTTCCATGAGAACAGAATGGTGCTCATCTATTTAAGCATAGTAATTGGGGATAAAACATCTGATATGCGTAGCTTAATTAATTCAGCGAATTCAATAAATCAGTCAGGGTCAGTCAGAATATTTTAGATCTTAAGCTTTTTTCAGTTGATAGCGGCAAACGTCTTTTGTATGCATGCTACGTATTGTTGTGAACAGAGAATGTTCTACTACAAGGAAAAATATATTCTTTTACAGTTTTAGTCTTCATCTGGCCAGTTACATTGCACCAGCTAATGGTTTTCAGCCACACCTTATAGGAGAAAAAAATGTCAAAATTATTCTTGGTATGTGTTTTAGCTTCAGCAACCTTTTAGTTATTTATTTCTGTCTAAATGAACTTGGACTCTTATGTAAATACAGTTTAACTCAAGGACCAAAAAGGTCAGCCTAATATCCCTCGCTGTATACAGTGATGAGAGAACTGTTTACAAATCAGCTTATCAAAAAATTGGAAACTGACAATTTGTGAATTTTTCTGAATGTATATTTCTCTTATCTTTAGAAAATTCAAAAAATTCAGGATTCATGATTATCTATATTCCTGAATTCAGTGATTCTCAGCAGATATGTTAAATCTATGAGCAGAGCTTCAGACATATCTCTATTATCTACTGAACTCAACTACATTGTAAAATACTAATTCTGGTTAGGCTTGACCTTTAATTCAGGTGATGCTGCGCTTAGGTACATACTAAATTACAGGACTAAGGCTACATTCAGACTAGCGTTGTGTGCAGGTGGCAGAAAGGCGTTTGGGAAGCGTTTTTAGCACATTGCAGCACATGGTGCTGTTCTAATGGGACCGTTAGCGTTGCATTGCGGCACAGCAAAATGGACGCCTCTGGTCGAGTCAGGAGGTGTTCTAGTCTATGGTGCCACTCCGCAAATGCCCGGCCGGCGTTTGCGGTGCGGTTGCGACGCGGTTGCGGGGTGTTTGCGGAGCGGTAACACCATTCAACCTTCATTATAGGCATTTGTAGGGTGTTTTTAACGCTCAGCAAATTCCCAGCAACCGCCGCTGAACCGCGGCGTTTGTGGAGCGTTTGCCGAGCTTTAAAAAACGCTCCGCAGACGCCGGACCAACGCTTGCCAAACGCTATAGGGGCATTTGGCAAGAGTTGGTAAAACAGTCAAGTGTGAACGAGCCCTAATACCTGTTTTGTTCAGGAAATGGTACAATTACTCATCAGGTTTAAGAGATTGTCCAACACTAAAAATTTCTTAGAACAATAATGAACATTGCTGACTGTAAATGCTTGTTATCCCTCAAATGAATTGACAGATCAGGGATTATTGACAGAGCAGTAATATTTGACATAATATACATCCATAATAACATCATACTATATACAGAGGTTTTAGGAGGCTAGGTGGCATTTAAAGTTCAGATATAGGTAAGGAGGAGGAGCTGGGAATCCTAGGACAGATAAAAAATTCAGACCACATTGCACAAGTACTTGTCACGTACCTAGTGGAGAGCAAGCTGGAGAGGGGACTTCTCTTGCCCCTCTTGTCCAACACCCCTGGTACTAGTGACAGCAGATGTGAGGGCACAGAGTGGCAGGAGGATCGATGTACAATACTGTGGAAAAGCTATAGGCAGTTGTGAACAAATGCTGTAAATTAGGAATGCCTTCAGAAATAGAAGTGTTAATTTTTTTTTTCATCCATTAACAAAATGGAAAGTAAATAAATAGGAGAGATATTCAAATCAAATAAATATTTGATTTGGCCACCCTTTGCCTTCAAAACAGCATCAATTATTCTAGGTACACCTGCACACAGTTTTCACATCTTGGATAACTAAGCCAAGATCTTCGGTGGATGTAGGCTGCCTGAAATTCTTCTGTATCTTAATATAATACTGGATCGATGATGTTGAGATCAGGGCTCTGTGGGGGCCAGACCATCACTTTCAGTACCACTTTTTCTTCTTTATGCTGAAGATAGTTCTTAATGACATTAACTGCATCTTTGAGGTCATTGAACTGCTACAGAATAAAATTGGGGACAATCACACCACCTCCCTGATGGTATGGCATGAAGTATCTTCCTGTATTTCTCAGAATTGGGGACACCATTGATCCTGAACAAACTGCTTTTTGCTACAGCCGAATATTTAACATTTTGACTCACCAGTCAAAAGCACCTGCTGCCATATTTCTGCACTGCAGTTCATATGTTTTTGTGCATAGTTGAGTCGCTTAGCCTTGTTTCCACACCAGAGGAATGGCTTCATGTCCGCAATTCTTTCCTGAAGACCACTTCTGGCCAGACTTCTCTGGACAGTAGATGGGTGTACCTGGGTACCACTGGTTTTTGCCAGTTCTATGCTGATGGCACTGCTAGACATCTTTCTATGTCGAAGGGAAGTAAGCATGATGTGTCTTTCATCTGCTGCAAGTTTCAGCAGCTACGGTCCTCAGCCGTTTCTTTGTACTTCTTTAGAAGAGCTTGATGAATTGAGTTGATGTTGGTCTGAAGCCAAAGGGTAGTCACAGCAATATTGATTGCTTTAGATTTGTATCAATTCACTTTGCATTTTGTGAATTGATAAAAATAAACAATGGTAATATATGTTTTTGAAAGCCATCCTTATTAATAGCATTTCTTTACAACTGTCTATAACAGCGGTTCTCAACCTGGGGGTCGAACGACACTTTCCCAGGGGGCGCCTAAGACCATCGGAAAACACATATTTCCGTGGCATTAGGAACCGAGGACACCGCTCCTTGATCCGTCTGCAGATGTGGGCGGGATGATGACATGCCTCAGTCTCTGTCATTGGACACACCCCGGGATTCAATCCTTCCTCGTCGGTGATTGGCCGCCGGATACTGTTTTAGCTCAAGAGAGGCACACAGGCGGACAATCACCGGACGAGGAGGTGGAGCTTGGAAAGGAGGAGCCGAGCGGCATCGCGAAGCACGAGCGGAGTGAAGAGGAGGAAAGCGGACGGAGAAGGAAGCCATTCTGACCGATAAGTGTTTGTACCATGTGAGAGGGAGGGGAGCGAGCGAGAGCCCAGGCTGGAGCAGCAGGGGGGGGTCAGCAAGGTAAGTATCATTGGTGTCAGTGGGAGGAATAGTGCCCAATCATTTGGTGTCACTATTACCAACGATGGGGCATCTTACTCCCCCCCACATGACACCAACGAATGGGGCACTATTCCTCCTACTGACACCAACGATTGGGGCACTATTCCTCCCACTGACACCTACGATGGGGCATATTACTCCACTGACACCAACAATGGTGACACCAAATGACAAGTTTGGGGCACTATTCTGCCACTGACACCAAACGATAGGGCATATTCTCCACTGACAACCACGATGGGGGACACTATTCCTCCCAATGACTCCACACGATGAGGGCACTATATATCTTCCTCTTTGAATACAACGATGGGGCCACTATTCCTCCTCACTGACTCCAATGCGTGAGGGCACTAGTCCTCCCCCTGATGCCAACCGATGTGGGCTACTATTGCTCACCCCACTGACACACATAACGATGGGGCACTTATTCCTCCCCCATCTGACACCAACGATGGGGCCACTATTCCTCCCCCCAATGACACCATCGGATGGGGGCACTATTTCCACTCCCCACTGGGACACCAACGATGGGGCACTATTCCTCCCCACATGACACCAAACGATTTTTTTTTGGGGGGGCGACTTCTTCCTCCCACTCACTGACTCCAAAACGAGTGAGGGCACTATGTCCTCCCCCCACTGACAACAACGACTGGGGCCACTATACTTCCCTCTGATACCAAACGATGGGGCACTTATTCCTCCTCACTGACACACCATTGTTGGGGCACAATTGCTCCCACTGATTGCCAAAACGAGATGGGGACACTATTCCTCCCTACTGACACCAAACGTTGGGGCACTATTGCTCCCCCCTGATGCCAAGACGATTGGGGCCATCTTATTCCTCCCACTGACGCCAATGTTTGGGGCAACTATTGCTTCCCCCTGACGGCCAACGATGGGGAGGCACTTATTCTCCCACTGACACCAATGATGGGGGCACCTATTTCCTCCACTGGTTTCACATTTGAATGGGGCTCTATCTTCCATTCCATCTGGACACTAATTGATGGGGCACTATTGCCTACCACTGATACACCAATGATGGGGCACTATGTCCTCACAACTGTCAACAGTGATGGGGCACTATTCCTCCACTCTGACTCCAATGATGGGGCCACTCATTGTCCTTCTCTACTGACACCAGTGATTGGGGCACTTATTCCTCCCACTGGACACCAGTGGATGGGGCACTTATTCTCTCACCACTGTCACCAGTGATGGGTACCCACTATTTCCTTCCCTCATGACCACCAGTGATGGGGCACTATTTTCCCCATCATCTGATCACCCAATGATGTGGCACTCACTATTCCACCACTGACACCATTGGATGGGGACTCTATTCCCCCCAGCTGAAAACTCTATGATGGGGCACTCTAATTCTCTCACACAATGACGCCAAACGATGGGGCATCTATTTCCTCCCACCTCTGACGCCTATACGGATGGGGCACTTATTCCGCCCCTCCCATCTGACGCCTATCGATGGGGGCACTTATTCCTCCCCCCAACTTGACAGGCCTACGGATGGGGGTCCACTATTCCTCCCCCCACTGACGCCAACGATGGGCACTATTCCTCCCCCCCCAAATAACCTTGACGCCATACGATGGGGGCACTATTTCCTCCCCCCACTGACGCCAACGATGGGGCACTATCTCCTCCCCCACTGACGACACAACGATGTTGGGGCACTTATTCCTCCCCCCCACTGACGGACCATACGATTTTTTAGGGGGGGGCACTATTCCTCCCCCACTTGACGCCAACGATTGGGGCACTATTCCCCCCCACTGATCGCCAACGATGGAGGCACTATTTCCTACCCACCACTGACGCCAACGAGGGGGCACTATTCCTCCCCCCACTGACGCCCAACGATGGGGGCACTTATCCTCACCCCCAACACTGACGCCAACGATGGGGCACTATTCCTCCCCCCACTGACGCCAACGACGGGGCACTATTCCTCCCCCCACTGACGCCAACGACCCGGGGCACTATTCCTCCCCCACTGACGCCAACGACGGGGCACTATTCACTCCCCCCACTGACGCCAACGATCGGGGCACTATTCCTCCCCCCACTGACGCCAACGACGGGGCACTATATTTCCTCCCCCCACTGACGCCAACGACGGGGCACTATTCCTCCCCCACTGACGCCAACGACGGGGCACTCTATTCCTCCCCCCACTGACGCCAACGACGGGGCACTATTCCTCCCCCACTGACGCCAACAGATGGGGGCACTATATTTCCTCCCCCCACTGACGCCATCGATGGGGCACTATTCCTCCCCCACTGACGCCAACGATGGGGGACACTATTCCTCCCCCACTGACGCAACTGGGGCACTATTCCTCCCCCAACGCCAACGACGAGGGCACTATTCCTCCCCCCACTGACGCCAACGACGGGGCACTATTCCTCCCCCCACTGACGCCAACGATGGGGCACTATTCCTCCCCCCACTGACGCCAACGACGGGGCACTATTCCTCCCCCCACTGACGCCAACGATGGGGGGCACTATTCTCCCCCCACTGAACGCCAACCGATGGTGCACTACACGCCAACGATGGGGCACTATTCCTCCCCCCACTGACGCAACGATGGGGCACTATTTCCATCCCCCACTGACGCCAACGATGGGGCACTATTCCTCCCCCACTGACGCCAACGACGGGGCACTATTCCTCCCACTGCACTCTTCCTCCCCCCACCAACGATGGGGCACTATTCTCCCCACTGACACCAACGATGGGGCACTATTCCTCCCACTGACACCAACGATGGGGGCACTATTCCTCCCATTGACATCAGTGATGGGAACACTATTCCTCCACTATGACACCCAATGACGGGCACTATTCCTCCCACTGATACACCAATGACGGGGGCACTATTCCTCCCACTGACCCAATGACGACGGCACTATTCTCCCACTGCAGAATTACAGTTATGAAGTTGCAACAAAAATAATTTTATGGTTGGGGGTCACCACAACATGAGGAACTGTATTAAGGGGGTCGCGGGCATTTAGAAAGGTTGAGAACCACTGGTCTATAACTTTTGCACAGTACTGTAGCAAGTAGTGCCACCTGTTTAATACAGGACACAGTTGACTGTGGACCAAATCAGGAAGCAGATTACAAAGTCCATACACAGGGCTGAGGCCACTACAGGTAGATTGGAATCCAAAGACAGGTCAAAGGCAAATGGGTAGCACACACATGAAGGCAAAAGTAGAATCAGGTCACAGGCAAATCAGGACACTTGCTGAAGACCACTCGGCAATCTGTTCATGTCACAATCCTTCTTAAATAGGCTATTGGTTGTCAATACCAGTGCGAGCATGCATGTGTGCCTACGCAGACACTGCTTAGCATGCACACCAATACATTTATGCAATTGTCTTAGGATAGCTATATATAAAAAAAATATATTTTAGTGTATCTAAACTTAAGAACAACAAAGCTGCACTACTCAAAAAATTAAACCCTATACCAAAAATACATTTTAGTAAACACCCCACAGGGCACTAAACAAATAAGTATTAATAGTGACAGATAAAATATTCACAAAAGCATAATGAACCTGCAGTGATATAAATTAATAAAACAATGACAAATCCCCTAAAATAAATAAAAATATAAACATAAACACCAGGCTGCCAATAAAATGTGCAAAAAGTGATTGAGCAATAAGAATATCAAGAGTATTGCATAAATAAATAAAATAACCAGCAAATTCGCTTGTGAAATTATCAAAATGACTGAAAATAGTAATGACAAATAATAATGACAAATTACTTGAATGTGCCATAAAAATTAACTGAACCCTCAAAGTGAAATCACTTAATTTTCATAAACAAATCCCAATACGTGCAATAAAACAAAATCTTCAGTAATCTGTGAATCCACCAGTGAACACTGCTTGTGCTCCTCCACCATAGTTAGCATGTGTGCTCACCTCCAACTCTGACCCATAAAGGGTCATACACGCTTTAAATAAATACAATCAGCGGTATTATCCTTGGATGTCCCCTCCGTGATGCTTCAAAGGAATCCTTTCTCTGGACCATGCTTGAGAGAACAAATCAGCCACGGCACCACCTGCCTGGAGTTTGCATGTTCTCCCTGTGCCTGCGTGGGTTTCCTCCAGGTTCTCCGGTTTCCTCCCACATTCCAAAGACATGCTGGTAGGTGCTTTGGCTCCTGTCTAAAATTGGCCCTAATATGTGTATGTATGAATGTGAGTTAGGGACCTTAGATTGTACAACCCTTGAGGGTTAGGGACTGGTGTGAATGTACAATATATATGTAAAGCGCTACGTAAATTGACGGCGCTATATAAGTACCTGAAATAAATAATAAATAAATAAAATCATAAGGGGCTTCCCATAGTGTACTATGTTTCTTAATTTATTAAAGATAATCCAAAAAAAATTACTCACATAAAAATCTGTGTCCACAGACCCATACAAGCATGTGTAAATTCAAATGGTAGAGATGGGTGTATCAAGATGGCGGCTGCTGTCTGAAATCAGAAATGATGTCACCACGCTTCTGTCTGACGCGTTGCGTCATGAATCATGTGACTTCCTCAGGGATATGATGTTTTTATCTAGTGATCCTGCCAGCAAGGGTGACAACCTTCACTACCTGTACTGTATCAACAGAGAAGCAATGTTAACACCCTAGAACAGGAAGAGTCTTAGAACTATAGACCACTTCCTCCTCAACCAGTGTTTTTTTTTAACTCATTAGGCAGGTATGATAAGATGCTAACAAAAGTAGAAAGTAAGAGATGTTAATTGAAAGGTTTACATACACTCTAAGGAAATGGAAATTATAACTGCTTGCAAACAGGGTTCTTTTTTTTATGAACTGGCCCTTTAAAGAGAGCCTGTCACCAGGCCATTCACAATTTTTCCATAAGATTACTTGCACATTTTTTTTAAAATGTAGGCTTGTTATTTGCCTGTAGAAAGCATTCCTTTTCTACACATCCAAATGTTCTGAGATTGCTGATGGGCCCTGCCATTTTGGATGTGATAGTGGTAGCCTCAGAAGAGTCAGAGCTGTCACTTAAGTAACACTGTAGTTAACATTCTTCTTCACTCATACCCCAGCAGCTACGTAAAATATTATGTTGGCAGGTTAGAGAAGGGGCGAAGAAGCTACCACAACAGACAATAACTAGTCACTCTAAGAAGAGGAGCGGTCCATGATGTATAAAGAAGGAGATGGCTGTGTGTCAACAACCACCTGGCGGTACTCTAGCTGTCCACAGGACAGGATTCCCCCAGAGCGCGGAGTCTAAGCCCCAGTCTGCTTGTTCACCAGGGCCCCTGATGGTGGGGATGGACTTGGAGCAGACAGGGACCAGGTCGTGGCCCCTGAGTACACCTGCCTGTGGTAGAGGGATCCGCCAGAGGTATATGCAGGTAGAGAGCCTGACATGAAGAGGCGGAAGGCTGGAGCAGGAATGTCTGGATCCGTGCAGGATGGATGGATGGATGGATGGCAGAGTAGTGAGCGTGGTCAAATGGGCCAGGTTGGTAACAGTGGGGTCAGCATAGTACAAGGCAGCAGGCAGAAGAGTAGTCAGGTCACTCGCCGGGGTGGGTAACAGGAGTTCAGATCAGATTATTGTTATCCAGGAGAGAGATCAAACGAACCAGGGGGTCAGAGCAGGAGAAGTCAGCAGAGGTCAGGATCAGGCAGAGTCAGCAACAAATCACAATAGCAGGTATACAGGAACACAGGATAAATAGACCATACGGCAAAGAGAGTCTGTGTAGGGCAGGTTTAAATAGTGGGCCCTGCCCTGTCATTGGTGGCAGGCGAGCGTCCGCCACCCGCCCAAGTTCTAGTGCCCGCCGGCTAGTATGGATCGGCGTTCTGCGCATGTGCAGACCCGCTTGTCGCCGCGATCCCTGACATTGCCCCCCATGGGCATCCTCTGGATGGCCAACCGATCTCTCGTCCGTGGGTGGTTACGATAGAATTCCCGGACAAGTCTAGGGGCGTGAACATTTTGGGCCGGCTCCCACAAATTCTCCTCAGGGCCAAAGCCCTTCCACTTAATCAGGAACTGTGTCTGGCTGCCTCTTTTCCTGCAATCTATGATTGCTTCAACCTCAAATTCTTCTTGTTCGTTAATGGTTATAGCCTCTGGAGGTCTGGACCTTAGGTCCGGGAAAGGATCTGGCATTGCTGGCTTCAGTAACGACACGTGAAAAACTGGGTGAATCTTGAAGGTTCCTGGGAGTGCCAGTTCATACGCCACCTCATTGATCTTCCGTTTTACCCGGAATGGGCCCATACATTTCGGCCCAAGCTTTTTTCGAGAGGCAAGACATCCTCAAATTGGTAGTAGCTAGCCAGACCTGGTCTCCCGGTTGCAGGCTTAGCTCGCCTCTTCTTCTCATTGCAAAAGCCCTTTTACTGTCCTCCTGGGCCTTTGCAATGGCTTCTTGAAGTACCTTGTTATTGGTAGAAAAAAATCCAGCATATTTTGTGTAGCAAAAGGATCAGGTCAGGTAAAAACGTGGGGTGAAATCCGTAATTGGCAAAAAATGGGGATTGCCCCGTAGCAGAACGATTCGCGTTATTGTACGCGAATTCAGCCAATGGCAAGAGCACCAGCCAGTCGTCCTGGAGAAAAGATGTATAACATCTCAGGTACTGTTCCAAGGTCTGGTTCGTCCTTTCCGTCTGCCCATTTGTCTGTGGGTGGTAGGCAGATGAGAGGGACAGCTTGATTCCCAGAACCTCGCATAATGCTCTCCAGACTTTTGATGTAAATTGGACCCCCTGGTCCGAGACAATGTCTTCTGGAATTCCATGGAGCTTCACCACTTCCTTCACGAAGACCTGTGCCGAGGGCGTATTCTTTAGTGGCAGAAAATGGGTCATCTTTGACAAACGATCCACGATTACGAAAATCGCTGAAATGGTCTTGAGATAGTGGGAGCTCCACTATAAAATCCATGGAGATCATCTGCCACGGCCGATCCGGTATGGGCAATGATCGTAGTAAAACCCCAGGCCTTACTTCTGGTGGGCTTATTCCTTTGACACGGGGTGCAGGTCTTCACGTATAGTTCACAATTTTTAGCCATGTTTGGCCACCAGAACGTACGCTGAAGTAACTCTAGAGTCTTTGCGATTCCAAAATGGCCTGCTAGTGGATGATCATGGCAGTGCCACAGAACTAAGATTCGGACCTCCTTGGGTACCACAATTTGCCCTTCTTTCCAAAAGAGACCCTCCTTGCTCTGTAGAGAAACCCTGGGTAAGCTTGGCATTCCTATGGATGTGGTCTGTAGCCTGGAGTGTAGTTCCGTTTGGAGGGCGAGAAAGTTTCCTGTGGACAGGATAGTGTCTGGTTTAGGGACTTCTGGGTCCTCAAACATGCGTGAGAGAGCATCGGGCTTTGTATTCTTGGACCCGGGTCTATAAGTAATGTGGAACACAAATTGGGAGAAGAAAAGTGCCCATCTTGCTTGGCGTTG